GAAAAGAGGAAGGGGTTAGACATAAAATAGAAATAGATGGGTGTCCATATTTGTTGAAGCCAGGTGATAGTGTATATGGGTTTGTTATACTAGGCTCTCTACTTTTACATATGCTTAAACATTTTTGTAATAAAAAGTTAAAATACAGACACACAAATACACATACACACACTACTCCAGAATGTCTCTACCTCTTCTGTCATCACTGACATGGCTCTCCTGGATAATGGCAGTGGCCTCCTCCTCCTCCCTGATCTGCTGATCCTGTTCTGTCCATGCTCCCCACCCCAGTCTATTGCCCATGCAGCAACCTGAGGAAACCTGTTAAGTCCTAAATCAGACCAAATCCTCCTCTGCTCATGACCTCCCTGTGGCTCCCTCTTACTCAGATATAGGCCAAAGCCCTTGAGGCCCTCCTGACCACCTCTTTAACCTCACTACTGTACTGGCTTTCTCCCTGTTTCTAGTCATGGTCACCTCAAGAGCTTTCCACTTGTCTGGAATGTTCTCCTAGTTATCCACGTCACTCATTCTCTCACCTTCTCCACATCTTTGCTCGAATCTCACTTATCATAAGGCCTACTCAGGCCACCTGATCTAAAGTTGCAAATGTCTCCCATATCTAACTATTTAACCCTCCTTCAAACTTCTCTCCACCTCTCTCTCTCTCTCTCTCTCTCTCACACACACACACACACACACACACACACTCCCTATCCTTTAGCTTTTTTTCCCTTAGCACTCATCAACACCTAAAATACCATATAATTTAACTATATGTTATCATGTCTCACCCCACTAATGTGTAAGGTCTCACCCTTCTAATGTGTAAGGCCCACAAGGACAGAATTTTTGCTCACTACTGTAATTCCAGTGTCTTTAACAATGCTTGGCATAGAGCAAGCATGCCATAAATACTGCTAAATTAGCTAATTAAATTTCAGTAAACAGGAATTAACTCCATTCTCTCCTTGCCCCATCAGGTTCTGACTTTTGTGACCTCCCTCTGAGCTCTGGCCCCATCACCTAGCCCAGCTGCAGTCAAGCTGGGAGCCTCCATTTAGAGCTATCTGCCCCAAGGCTGAAAAGGCCTGCTTACCTGAAGTGTCATCTGGGGCCATGGACGGAGAGGAGTGGGGGCCACCAGGGGACCCACTGACTCCTGGACATCAGAATGCTCTGCTGGAGAGAAGGACAGTATTGGGATCAGACAGGCGTATAAGCAGACCTGATTTTGTTTAGAAAATCTGTTGTAGTTGGGACCAGCAGGTGGCATGGTGGTTAAGATGCTGGACACTCCCACATGGCCGACCGTGGTTCAGGTACCAGACCTGGTGGCTTGCTTTCTCACTTTCCCTCTGTGTGTGTGTGTGTGTGTGTGTGTGTGTATCTCTCTCTGGTCAAATTAAAATAAATGAATGAATACATAAAATTAAAT